ACCAAAGCACTTATGTCTCAGATAATCTTTTAACTAATCTAAATTAAACTTTTATTGATATGCTATATACTGGTCGGTTATGCAATCACTAACTAGCCACAGCCAATAAATGGTATCGGGTGGCCAATAAATGTTATCGCCAAGAATTGCTACGAAACTATTTAATTAAAATATTTTGTTTAAGGTATTTAAAACAAGATTTCCTCACATTTATTAATTATTTGTAAGAAAAGTTGAACAAAGGTTGTTGACTGAAAACCACCAAATTTTACTTAAATTTACTTAATTATACTTAAATAAAAATTCGGATATTGCACTAAAGGTAAAAAATAAATACTATATATTTTTTATTTATTTCGTTTATGTATGTTTTTAGATTTGTTTCTACTATTTTTAGTAAAAAAATAATAAAAAATATGAAAAGACAAAAAAGAAAAAACATTGAAAAATTAAACCAAATGTTACTATTAAAGCAACTTTCCACTAACTCCATTAGTGTTAAAATAACTTTGATCAATCGTTCAAATTTAGCGTTAAAATTGTTAATTTTTGGTTAAAGTAGAAACGCAAATCAACGTTGTAACCGTTAGATCAACGTTAAATAAAACAAAACAATTTACCAGATAAAAGTTATTTGCAAAACAGCTTAGATAAAATTTTACGATAATATCGTTGTTTTCATTATAATTGTCATATCTTTTTTTATAGTCATTACTTATTTTTGTCCGCGGACTTGATGCACGATTTCCGCAATCCAATCGACATGTTGCAAACTTCAAACAGTTTTATGTAAGTTGTCTGTTTTAATCTTAAAACATCGGTTAACTACTTATAATAAAAGATATTCCATCAACTTTTTATAACTAAAACAACAGTATATGGAGTAGGGGAGAGTGAGCTAAAGGCGAACTCGGGGTAACTCCGAACATGGTCAAAACGGCATGATAGAAAAAGATTGATAATTTCTTTTTGCCTGCTGAGAGGGGGTCCCATCCTCAGTTTCAGACGTGCAGTAGAGTTTTGAAGCTGCGCATGTTGTTCTAAATAATTTGATCTTAACTTTTTCTGATAATTTTATGTAATTTTTTGCTTGAGAAACATTCCCGTTGTAGCTACGATAGATTTAACACCACTCCTTTTGTTGTTGTTGTTGTTGTTGTTGTTGTTGTTGTTGCATAGTACCATAATCAAGGAGTTTTTAACACGTATTATATTTTTGGTATGTCAATACAACCTCAATAGATTAATCATATTTCATTTGTTTGTGTCCGCTGGAAAATAACAAATAATCTTAGTGGAGTTATTTCGAACGTCTAAAGTGTCATTGATAGCATATGGACGTCAGGCGGCCAGAACTTTAATGCTTCTTATTTTAGCAAATAAATTTTTTGATACGTAATTTCATTTAACAGAGTGAAAACCAGAAAATTTTTAAGAAAGAAACATTCCACTATTATTACTAGTTTGCCGATGAGAAATATTTTAGAGCAAAATAAAAGTAAGAAGAAAGAAGTAAAAATGCTTTAATTTAAGCGCTTAATAAAAAATTCCTCAGTTTCGGTTTCTCATAATGGATGGTGTCTTGCAAGTTTAACTTCTTTAGAAGTACTTTTTTGCGATTTGTATTTACTTTATGTAACTTTAGTTAGAGTTATTGGTAGTTTTTAAACTTTCATTGAACTGGAGGCAAAAATTGCATAATAAGTCATCTTGCCCCGGTCACGTGACCAGATGACAAATTTATGAACTTTTTACTTTAATATTTATTTCAAACTGTTATATTTGCAAATTGAAAATTCATGCAGGTAATGAATCATTTTAATAACATAAACATACTGAGAAAGTATTATTGCTTCACGACTGATAGTTTTGCAATAACTCAAGGCTTTCAAAACGTTCGCCATGTTGCCCCGCTTTCCCCTATATATTAAAATCTCAGTACGATAATATTAAATACTTTTAAATAAAGAAGTGTTACATTTTTACTTTTTTTTTCCAAATACAATACAAATATAAAGATAAGTAATAATGTAAAGGGTGATGTAGCTTTTTAGAAAATTACTTTTTAAAAGCAAAAGTTAAAATAAATAAAAAATAAAAAAGAATAAAATAAAGATTAAAAATAAAATAGTATTTGAGATACGTTATAATCAAGCAACTGTTCTTTAAAGATACTTTTAAAAGTTTGGATTGAAGTTGTAGTTTGATTATTATTTGGGAGAAATGAGTTCTACAAATGTGGCCCTCGGTGAGTTATTGAGAATTCAGATTGTTTTTTCAAAGTTTTTGGTACTTGATAATTAAGCAATGAATGCTATGTTTGATATTTATGATCTATAAAAAAGAAAAGGTCTTCAAAAATATTAGGTAGCATATGATATTTTAATCTAAACATGAATAAAAGAATATTAAAAATATTTAATTGGTAAACACTCAGCGCTCCAAGCTTACGAAGCGGTGGATTGGTTCTGGTGTATTTATTATCATTTAATATAAGGCGGCTTGCTTGTTTTTGTTTTTTAAGATACAAGATAGTCTTGACGGATAAGTGCTTGCCCAAGCAATGTTACAATAACTAAAATAGCTATGAATAAAAGAAAAGTAAATAGATTTTAAACAGTTTTTTTTATATATCTAGTTTTATACATGATTCCAATACTTTTTGAAATTTTATTTTCTATTAGGTTAATATGCTCCTTCCAATTTATTTGCTCATCGATTAAAACGCTTAAGAATTTAACACAGTATGTCCGTTGCAACTTGGTTTTTTTCTATTAAAATATCCGGGAGTTTTAAAGGCAACATGTCAGATTTAGAAGATTTTGAAAAGAGAGTATATTTGCTTTTGGTAGGGTTCAGAAAGAGTTTGTTGGCTTTAAACCATTCATTAAGGTTATCAAGTTCACTATTCATAGTGGTAAAGATTGTCTTAATGTTGGAGTGAGTATAAAAAACTTGAGTATTGTTAGCAAAAAGATTTAAGTTTAGTATACTAGATGAAAAGTAAATATCGTTGATATAAATAATAAACAACAAAGGCCCTAGAATAGACCCCTGTGGAACTCCGCAGGTAATGTTTTCTAATTTAGTGTAGGTTTTGTCATAAGATACACATTGTTAACGATTTTTAAGGAACAAAATCATATAAGATTATTATTTTTGACTCCATAAATTTCAAGTTTGTAAAGAAGAATATCATGGTCCACAGTATCAAAGGCCTTAGCGAGGTCAATAAACACTCCAAGAATATATTGCTTGTTTTCAAAACCCTTTAATATTTTATTAACTAATTTAATAACTGCTTGTTCTGTCAAGTGTCCTTTTCTGAATCCGTACTGATTGTTATTTAGAACTTTGTGAGTTGTAAGATAGTTGTAAAGCCTATTATACATTATTCGCTCTAAAATTTTAGAAAAACATGGGAGTATTAAAATAGGTCTGTAATTAGATATCTTTAAGACATCACCATCTTTAAATATTGGAACTACACTAGCTAGTTTTAAGAGATCAGGAAAAACTCCATTTTTAAATGAAAGATTAAAATAATAAGTAAGGGTACTCAATAATATCAAAAACTTCTTAACCAACCTTAGGGCATATAATATCAAGGCCTGTGCTTTTGTTTGGTTTTATCATATTAAAAGCGAACCGAAGTTCATCAGGCGATACCTCAAGCTCATTCATTACATTGTCCTTTTAATTTAGATATGACTTAAAACTTTTTTTTCTTGGTGTTATTTTGTTTGCTAGGTTTTTACCCACGTTTATAAAAAAGTTATTGAAAGTGTTTGCAATATCTTTTTTCTTATTTTTTATTGATCTTTCATCCTCAGTATTTAAATATTTCGGTAAATAATTACCACGAGTTTTTTTTTCTTTTCCTATCACTTCCTTTATTATATCTCAAGTTTTTTATGTTATTTCCGATATTATTTTGTAATAAATTTGAGGAATAACTTTTTTTAGCGTTTTTTTTTAAGTTTTCAAACAGGTTTTTGTAAGTTTTATATTTTTTTTCGTTTTGATAAGTTTTTTTTTAATAAATATTTTTTATATAGTTTTTGTTTCTTCTTAGAAGATTTAATAAGTCCTTTTGTAATCCATGGACTTTGTAGACTTTTAAGCTTGGATTTTAACTTTAAGTTATGTAAAATAAATATAACTTATGCAAAATACAAGAGTTTTTTCATTTAGTATCTATCTAAACTCTTGTATTAGAATATGTATATGCTTTATACAAAAATATGTATATGCTTTATACTTTTGCATTATACAAAACTTATAAAATATACAATATACTTTTGTATTTTAAAAGTCTAATAAAATAAATGTAAAACGGCTTTTAAAAAACTTGTGTATATTTATACAAAGTTTTAAAAGAGTTTTATAATTTTTTTTAATGTTACACATATGTCCATAGCATAATATTATATATTTTCATAAAATCTTTCAATATTTTTACTTTTATTTAAAGATTTTAAAGAAATTTTCCACGCAAAAATCCGGGTAGATAAATCGGCAGAGCAAATTGGCTCAACAAATAAATTGGATGGTACAAACGGCATTGCGGATTATAAAAGCAGCTAAATTTCTATAAAAAAATAACCCAATTAATTTAGCAGATTACATGCACACAAAGCACTCTAAATTGAAAGTTAATCCAGGAAAGAATCAAGCGTTTATCTTGTGCACAAATGCTCATTGTGTTAGGTAGTAAACGACCTAGTAGTAAACTAATAAAAAAAGTGATTTGTCGTATTCTAATATGCAATCTGTTAAATAATTCGGCAGATCAAATGTTAGAATTAGTTGGAAAAATGAATATACCATTAGTAGTTTTATATTAACTGTTGACAATATATCCTTTTTATCATCAATCTCCAATCAAACGTGACTCTTTGTAGGTAAGTTAAACCTTTTAAATTTCAATATGAAATGCATCTTTAGCGGATTATAATACAATAATATAATAAAGACTATATAATTAAAAATTCACTCACTATTCTGGTTTCCAAAATTTGACTTGACATACATTTAGTAAATGATAAACCAATTTAAATGAGAATCTAATAATACAACATTAGCCTTTAGTTATTGGTACGAAGAACATTTCAATTTCGCTTTTATATAACTAACTTTACATTTTTTTGTATAATAATCGTATAATCGTATATATATATATATATATATATATATATATATATATATATATATATATATATATATATATATATATATATATATATATATATATATATATATATATATATATATATATATATATATATATATATATATATAAGGGAAAATGGGGCAACAATGGTTTTCATACAACAACTCAACAATAAACCTTGAAATTGGGTGAAAAAGAAACTGCATTTGCATCTTGTATTTTAGAACACCAGTTGGTTTTTTTTAAATATTATTAACGCAATTTTAAACGCATAAGTTTACTTTTTGCGCTTAAAAAAAAATACCTCGGCTTCGGTTTCTCACAATGGATGTTGTCCTTCAAGTGTAACTTTTTTAAAAGTAATTTTCTGCGACGTGAGTTTATTTTGCGTTACTTTAGCTAAAGTTGTTGGTAGTTTTTAAAATTTTATAAAATTGGAGACAAAAATTGCATTATAAGTCATCAAGTAACAGAACTAAAGAAATAAAATAAAACAAAAAAGATAAACTAAAACAACTACAATAAAGAATATAATAACATTCATTGCAATCCTTTTTGAATTTAAAAAACAATTTAATAAATGTTGGCCTTATAAAAATAACTAATATTACAATTTTAAACCAATCATGGTGTTTACGTGAAAATATGTAATTCTTTTCTATACTAAAAGTTGAACTGATTAAAAATATCTTTCATAATGTTAATGCGATATTTAACAAACATTAAAATATATAAAGTAACAGACTGCTTTTTTTTTTTAAAAAAACAACATAAGTATAGAACAACACAGTTCAAAGTATACAGTCCAAAACATATATAAACTCAACAAAGTTACATCAAACTCAACAAAGTCACATCAAACTCAACAAGGTTACATCAAGCAAATAATATAAAAAGCTCTCTCTTTAAATATAAAAATAAATACAAATCGGCAAGCAAGTATAACAAAAGAATGAAAATTTTTGCTAAATTGTATTTATTGTATATTGTTAAAAAGAAAGTTGTTGTTTATTAAAATATTTTTTATAAATGTTTTATTATTTTGTATTTTTTCGTTGAAAATTGATAAGCAAATTTAACTTATGTTACTTTTTTTATGTTGTGTTTTGTCTCTCGCATGTCGCCAATTTTACATCAAAAACAAAACTAATTATGAATATATATATATATATATATATATATATATATATATATATATATATATATATATATATATATATATATATATATATATATATATATATTATATATATATATATATATATATATATATATATATATATTTATATATATATATATATATATATATATATATATATATATATATATATATATATATATATATATATATATATATATATATATATATATATATTATATATATATATATATATATATATATATATATATATATATATATATATATATATATATATATACTTATTACCAAAGATGTTTTACTCAATTAGTTTAAGAAAAAACTATTTTGTTTGTTTATACTACTTTTATCTAAAGATCAGTTTAAGCAACTTTTTTTTTTCGTCTATTTGTTTTTGTTTTTTATAATAAATTTTTAATATAACATGTATAAAAACTGCTTAATTAAAATAAGTTTCACTTAAGAGCGTTTAATAAAATAAAGATAATTTTCGGCTTTTTGGAAATCAACACAAAATCAAATATTTAATACTTAGATAAACTTAGTAAACGCGACAAACCGAAAAGCGTTATTTTGAAAATATGTAGCAGTTAGGGGATACTAAAGTCATCGCATGATGACTTATTATCCCCTAATTATACACGTAAGAGGTAATGGTCATCATAAAACGCATATAAATTTAGGGTGGAAAATAGAGTTCAAAAATCATGCTTTTAACGTTAGTATGTGTATTATGTTAAATGGTATTGTAGTATGTTTAATTTTGATACGTTAATGCAAAAAACAAAAACCTATTATTAATTAAATAAGTTAACACTGAGGGTAGTGTTGTCACGTGATAGCACTGACTTAGAGTTAACTTTATTAAATCTACTACACAAGGTATGGAGTCATAGTTGTAACAAATGAAAAAAAAAATTTATATAATATATATATATATAAATATATATATATATATATATATATATATATATATATATATATATATATATATATATATATATATATATATATATATATATATATATATATATACATATATATAAAAGTATATGTATATATATATATATATATATATATATATATATAAATATATATATATATATATATATATATATATATACTTTTTTTTTTTTTTTTTTTTTTTACAAACGCGTTATGTTAATTTTGGACAAAATTATATTAATTTGTGCATGGAAATAACATTTTTAAAAATCTTTTTAACACTTAAAGTTATAAAAGTTTCATAAAAACTTTAAAATGGATCTTAAATCGTAGTAGCTTTAATTTATTTTTAAAATAAACAAAAATCAAAGTTACGTCATCTTTATCTTCAACACCTATCTGAGTCATCATGCACATATTTTCATAGCATATACCGACTAATTTACTTTAGTTATTTGCAAATGCTGAAACACAAATGTATTTTTACACTTGTCAATTACTACGCTGGAAAATGCATTCTAATTGCAGAAAGGAGTTAAAAATAACAAAATGATTTTGTTATTTATGAGATATATAACAAAATATTAAACGTTTTAGTAATATTAGCAGCCGTGGTCTGAACTTTAAACTCAGAGGTTTAAAATTTAAATTTTGCTTTTGTCACAAAGGGACATATTTCGTTTAATAAAAAAATCAAATAAAATATAAATATAAAAGTGGTTTATTTCATGTGTAAATATACATACACGAATTAATATGATAATATATAGCGCAGGGCAGTCAACTGTGTCAAAAGTTTGTCTTTTCAAGAATGTCAAAAATTAACAAGAAATTTAAACTTTTTAGTGCCGAGACGTCTTTAAGCATTAATTCCAAAGAATATCTAACAAAGTATTAATAAATTATATTGTTATATGAACATATTATATAAATAAAATATAAATGTGAGAACACTTTTCCTACACCTTTATTGTATTACATTTTAAAAATCTGTTCGCTGTATACATAATTTTAAATATGTTATTGTAAAAACTAGACACTATTTTTATTTTGTTTTTATAATTTACTCACTAATTTTTGTAAGCATTATGCACGTTTGTCTTTGTTTACAACAACTTCTAGAATGTATGAATTCTTTTCAATACTATATATCTGTTCAATCGATGCAGTTTATTTTAACAAAATTTTAACACTATTATTTTACGAATGGTTGTAACTGTTTGTTTTTTTTTAGTTATTTTTTACATAACACTTTAAACCCAAGATGTGATAAAATTTAAAATAAGTATGCTAATTGAAATACAACACTTTGAGATTATATATATATATATATATATATATATATATATATATATATATATATATATATATATATATATATATATATATATATATATATATATATATATATATATATATATATATATATATATATGCACGAAATTGTATTTAAAAACATAAAGATTACTTTACAATAATATGTTTGCATAAAATATTTAATAAATTATCTGAACCGTATAATATAAAAGTATTATGAAACAGAACCGGAATTCGGTTAATAAATTACCCAGACATTTCGTTCGTAAGTGTTTTGATACCGACATTTGACGATAGTTTTGTAAATAATGGCAGACAAATAAAATCCGCAACAATCTGAGCTTGTTTATTTAGATAAGTAAAGTTGTACATAATAGTTCATTAAATTGTATCTTATATGTTCTTATCAATAAAAATGTTAGAAAAGAAATAATAATCAACTATTTTTATTTATTTATTTGTTATTATTGCTATATTTTGACATAATTATTATCAGTGTTTGAAGTTGCAAAAAAAGTAGTGGGATCATTTTTAGTATTTTTATGTAATACTATCGTGTTGAAGCAATGTTGAATTAGGGCTGAAAAAAGCTATGAATCTTAATTCATTGCAATCTCCATCAAGCACTGAATATTATTATGTATATTAATTATTGCACTATATCTACTCATGATTTGTTAGTAAATATTGTTTTTACTTCTAATATTAGTAAACAAGTTTCATAACAAATAACCCCAAATTAAAACTAACAAAAATAAAAATAAAAAAATGCGAAAATATATAAAAATACTGGTAACTTTATAAAAAAGTTTCATTGCTTGTTAACATTCAAACCAAATTTAATGTGTAAGTTCACTTTATCTTTTTTTGTCAGTGTACAAAATGAGATAAAAATAAATACACTGAAAAAAGTGATACACCCAATATCATATAGATATACCACAACTTAGAATACTTGCAATAACATAATTTATCTTTTTATCTTTTGCATCGCATCTTTAAGACTTAAAGTTGAAATTAAGTAGATTAAACAGCATGTTAGCTAAAATCTGTTATTATGTTAATCATTAAACTTTGCTTAATATATATCATGCTCTTTTTTATCTCTCATCTCAGATGAAACTTGTTAAGTTTGGATCTAAACAGCTTGTTAAGTTTGGATCTAAACAGATTGCAAGGCTAACTTATCTCCAAAATAAAGCTCTAAAATTAATTTATTTCCAACTTACTAATTCGAACTGTAGCATACTCTATTATTTATTTAAAGTCTTTAAATTGTGTGACCTTATTCAGCTTTCAAGTTGTCTATTTGTTTGGAAGCAAAATCATAATAACCTACCTTATCAACTTTTTTAAATATTATTAGGGAAAATTGTAACTATATTCTATGATCAGCTTGCAACTTTTTTACAACTTATTATTTATAACCCTAACCCTGAGTTTCTAATTATCTAGTATCTTTTCTATTTTATGTACCTTTTGTTAAGTTTATTTTTTTAATATTTCTTAAACTGAAATATTTTCATTAGTATTCTCTTCATCAGTATTATTGTTATTATTACTATTTTTATCATAATAAATATTATTGTTCTTACAGCTAATAATATTCTTATAATTATTTTAATATTACTGTTTTTGTTATATTATTATTGTTGTTGCTATAATTGTTATTGTTGTTGTTATTATTTTTATTGTTATTATTACTATTATTATTATAGTATAGTATAGTATATACTTTTATAATCTTTACTATTACTTTTAATTGCTATTATTGCAACTATTATTTTGATTTACTCCTACTTGTATTATAATTATTATTATCATTTTACTAATATTGATTTTGACAGGTGTTTGAATTTGACAAGCATTTTCTTCATATTAGTATCAATTAATATTTGTAAATATCCTTGATATAACAACTTTATTCAGAATATATTTGCATTGATTTAAGGAAAAAATAAGAGAAAAAAGCAACATATTTCAGCTTTTATAATTAAACAACACAAAATGATATTTTGTATATAGTATATTTTTGTAACCAATATAAAATAAGTTATTCAAATAAATTAAGAAAATAAAATGTTTTACAATATTTCTTTTTTTGGTTAGAACCCAAAACAACTTAGTTTCAAATGTTATAATACCATACGTCCTACCAAAAATAATTGGAAAGAAAAACATACAAATATATAAAACAATATTATGTTACTATGTTTTTAAACACTTGTTTCCTAATGTTTCTATATTTATAGTCAAAGTATTAAGAGGACTATTAAATAAGTTAAAAAATAAAAACATTGTTTTTGGATTTGAGTAAAGAGTTTTATATGAGCAACAATGATTTATGGTGAAACATTAACAATGAAACATTACCATTGTAAAATAGACTTACCTAATATTTTAGAAGTAAAATTAATTTATTCAAGTACTATTGTTTATTATAATTATTATTATAGTTATTATGTTTATCAACTCGTTTCTCCGCGCAGCTGCCTTGTTCGTCAAGGTTCGTATTTCGGAGTTATAGAGTTAAGAGAGGGTTATAGCCACAAAATAAGTAGCCTCCTCGTCTGTAGTGGTAGTTTTTTATTTTACTTCACCTTCTCGGCCTTAAGGAGGTGAAGTAAAATAAAAAATATATATATATCTAATTACTATATGTAAATAAATGAAAAAGAATTTCAAAGCATTGATGTAATTAGAAAAAAAGTTCAGCCTACTAAAAGTTTTTTTATAGCATGTGAGTTTGCTGAACTTTGACATATGATTGAGTTTTGACTGATTAAACAAGAGGTAATAAATTGCTTGAGCAGCACCCATAATAGCACTTGTAATAGGAAAATGCAACTTTAGTATAAAGAGATGTAACTTTATGACAACAAGGCTGGCTCATGTTTAGCAGCTTGGCTAACTACATTTGCAATATATTTTTATAAGTTTGTCTTTAAAAAAAGGCATCGTTAGAAATGATCTTGTAATAGGTGGTAAGTTTTAATCCAAATAAAAATTATTCAACAGTATTATATACAATTAAGATGACTATAAAGGTATCGATTGTTTGAGTATATGGTCTCTATTAGAGGTCACAAATAAAAGCTATTTCAAGAGATCAAGTAGAGGTCTCAAAAAAAGTGTTGCTATTCACTAAAGAAAAAAATACAATAATGTTGCAGAAAAAAACAATTAAGTTTTGTTTGAGCTAAAATTTGCCAGCTGCTATACGTTCAAAATTGTATGCTAAATTTGCAAAATTGTATGCAAAGTTGTATGTAATTTTAGGTGATCTAAAAGTGATTATTTTTGTAATTAAGACTAGAGTGTATAGATTGTCAGGAAGATCATTAATGAAGATGAAAAACAATGCAGGACAAAAGATGGAAGTCAAGTAGAGATATTTTAAGGATGCCTTTTAGACTTTAGTTTGAAAGTTTTTTTCAATAGTTTTTGAAATTTTTCCAGAAAAAATTTAAAAACCATTGAAGAAAAAGATTTTGGGAAAGACTAGCTTATCAAACTATCAAAATACATATTGGTAAAACTATAATAAGAATGTTGTTATTGTTGACAAGCTAGAAAAAATTTAAAGTGATAAATAACTTTGTTGATAAATGCTTCAGTGATTTGGATTACTAACAATAAATTAATTTATCAGATTCAAAAAATTAGTGAAATAGTTCTTAGAAATAGTTCTACCTATTTTCTCTTCCTAGTTCTCTTGGAAATAGTTATCCCTAGAAAAATTAATAAGATCAGAATCATGTATAAGAAATAGAATGTTTTACTTGCCTTTGTAAATGACATTGTAAGTGATTTTCTAAAATCTTGAAAATCTATCTTTTGATATAAAATACTAGATAAATTAATTTGAATTAATAATTTGTATAAAATACTAGATTTAGTAATAAAATAGATTTTAGAAAGCATGATTTTTAGCACAGACAAAAAGCTTTACAATTTCCATCGTACTGATCAGCTTCATGAAGCCATGGGATTATTGCACTTATCTAAGCAAAGGTTAATAGCCATTAACACCGAAATCTGATGAAAGTATTACAAAAAACATGTAGGTCTAGTGAGTTTTGCAAGTATATTCAAGATTCAAGTCTTACCTTTTAAGTCTGTTTGCTGAGTCTTGACCTAGAGTTATATGTAAGCAAAGTATTTTAAGTAAGAGTTAACTTCTCTTAGTCTTTCCTAGAAAAGTCTTTTCTTTTAATTATTTAACATTTTTTTCAACACTTTAATTGAAAAACTGTAGGTAAAATGAACTAAAAATTATTTTAAACTATAGTCAGAAATAAACTTCGATCGATGCTTTGTCAACACTATGGTTAAATAAAATTATAATTTTTCTGAAGAAACAAAATAAGGTAATAAAAAACTTATTTTTTACTACTTTACTCACAAGCTTGTGTAGTTTGTAACCATCCCTAAATACAGTCCCAAAATACAGCATTTTTTGAAAATATATGCTTCCACCCCCTTAATGTGTTCTATATGATAAAAAAAAACAATGGTTTTGAAAAAGTTTTGAAGAAGTTTTAAATTAATTAAACTATAAAACACTTGAAAAAAATATTTATATAATAAAGTTATCATTTTTAAAATTTCAAGTCTGTATTGATGAAACACAGTGTTAAATGAAAAAAAAATTCCTAAGTGATTTTCAACTAATTTATATATATATATATATATATATATATATATATATATATATATATATATATATATATATATATATATATATATATATATATATATATATATTATATATATATAATATATATATATATATATATATATATATATATATATATATATATATATATATATATATATATATATATATATATATATATATATATATATATATATATATATATATATATATATATATATATATATATATATATATGTATATATAATACTATAGTGTATTTGTATAAATATTTGTTTACTAGTTTTGCTTATCTTTATAGGATAAAACTTTTTCAGAAAAAGAAGAAAAAAAAGCTAATAATGATAAAAGAAAATATTGCTGGCCCATGCTAAACCTTCAGTCGATGTAGCAGCACTTTTTTGCAGCAGCAAAGTTAGGAGTTTTGCTATAAGGCTATAAGATAGTTGATTTATGTACTGAAGTCTCTGGCTGCAGGCTATTTCAGTGTGATATCACCATGTTTATTTAAACACACATTTCTAGTTGTGTGTGTGTGTGAATGCAATATATATATATATATATATATATATATATATATATATATATATATATATATATATATATATATATATATATATATATATATATATACACACATATATGTATATATATGTATATATATATATATATATATATATATATATATATATATATATATATATATATACACACACACACACATACATACATACATATATACATACATACACAAAAGTTGTGAAGAGTTTTTAATTAAAATAAATAAGAAACCCTTTTCTCTATCATTCCTAGTATACAATTCTTTTTATTTCTAATGAAATAAACAAGCATTGTATACTAGGATAAATAAAAAAAATACAATGCTAATTATTTCTTATAGCCTAATTTTTTTCAAAATGTTTCTAAGTTCATTATAAAAAGTTATAGTAAAGATTTTGTTAAGAATGTTTTTAACTAAAATAAGCCAATAATCAAATTACAATTTATTTATTTTTACTTAGCTTCTATTTTATTCTTCAAGATAATTTCATCTCTGATGTATTGCATTTTTATTTTTATGTCAAGAGACAATCAATGGAAAACAAGTTACAGATAAAAATTATAAAATTAATAAAATTATAAAATAAAAAATAATTAAAAAATTTTTTGAACAAAATTGATACTAATCTAAATAAATATAGTTTAAAAATTAAGCTATTTTAATCTTCATTTATATGAAGTTTTTATATAATTTGTCTATAATTGCTTGAAATTATGGACAAATTATATAAAAAAATTTCAAGTCAAATATAATATGAAATATTATATTTGATTTGAAACAGTTTTTTTCCAATATTTTGTTAAATATTTTCAGTAAGAACAACAAAAACATATTTATATCTATTGTTTATTGTATATTTGGATTTTGCAAATCAGTATGGGTATATTTTCAATATTTATCATGTTTATTGTTTATTTTGAATTATTTGAGTCATCTTATTACAATCTAAACGAGTTGTCATAGCAACTTTTGAAAAAATTAAGCTTGTTAATCAATATTAAATTAATTATTACAAAACATTTACAAATTGTTATTTTTAAAAACTTAATTTTTAAAAACATAATTTTTCTAATATGATAAGTTTTAAAAAATGTTTTTTATTGGTTGTTTTTAATTTAAAGTTAAAAAAATTTATTTTTTAACAAAAAATAAAAGAACTTTTTATTGACTCCTAATTATGGTAAAATTGTTTGTGTAACCATTTATTTTTTTTTTATTATGGAGGTTTTTAAAATAAAATTCATGTAAATTTTTGTTTAATTCTCAAAACAACTAAATTGTAGAACAAAACTTGTGTACTGCATTTTCAGATTAACAGGCAATATTTATCCATATTGCATAACATGGTTACGGTATGTGTATAATTCTTAGGCTTAACAATATTTGAATTAAAAAATATCTTTAATAAAACTATTTTAATCTCTTTTCTTTAATTTTTTTAAATTTTTTGATAAAGTTAGTTTTCTTTTACAATTATGAAAACAGTTTTTAGTAGGCATTGTAAAAATTTTTATTAATATTCTTGTATCTATATTTGTATTTCTATTATTTTTTATAACTTTTTCAAATGTATACATATACAGATATATTTATTTCTAGATTGTAAAAAAAAAAAAAAAAAAAACAGGTATTGCTGCATGCATTGTGTATTTAAAAATGAAAAATGAGAAATGAAGCTGGCTTTTTTTTAACTTTATTCCAAAAAACTCTCACTGTATGTTCAAGTAATTTTTTTTTTATTTAAAAAAAATAAAGCATAAACTTTTAAATCTTATTTTTTTTCTTTTAAATTACTTAAAGTTTTTTATTTTGACTTCAAACTTTATAATTTAGTTTTAAAAAAATTTGCCACAGCTTTTTTTATAAATCTATTTTTTCATAGTATTTCTATAGATTTTTCTTAATTTAATTAATTTGAAATCATATATCAAATAACAATTTTTATTTTATTTTTGATATAATATCATATGTAACATGTTGATAAATAACACAAAATGTCTGACATAACTATTAAAGAACACATATTGTATGACATGAATATTAAAAAACACATAACTTATGATATAATTATGAGATGACATAATAGAGTTAAAGTTATGTAATTAGATTATAGCCAATTTTTTTCACAATTTTAATGTTTTGCATATGAGTATTTTTTGTATCATTTGTTGTATTAAAAGTTTGTTTGTTTGATTTTAATATCCAACTTTTTAATACAATACAACCTGTCCTATATCCTGCTGTTTAAAGTCAGGTGCTGTCTTGAGGTACAGGTGACTTGGCTAAACAAAATACCTAAAACATTGAAACTTTAAAAAACCTAAATAATCCAACAAAAAAAAAATTATACCTTGACACCCTTAATAACCTAATGCTCAAGGCCCTCTTAATCCAACAAAATTTTGCTTTAGAATGTGGCTTTTATCTTAAAATGAAAAGCATTATCAAAAAAAATCCAGATCTTAATGCAGTAGCTAAATGTTAAACAAAGTAAAATGAAGTTTACACATTAAATTGCCCGCACCTTAACTTTCTTACATCTTAATTGTTGACGCTTTAATTATTTTGGTATTTTTTTTTTTGGTAAACAAGGTTTAGTCTGATGTTAAACTAATAAATTTTTTATCAACAAAAATTAATTTTGTTGTATACACATACTTTGTCAAAGAATAGTATAAGACACTCACAGTCATGGATTATAGATTAATAATTTGCTGTTGCAGTCCTGTTTCTAAAACCTTGGCCCAAAATGCTGATTTTCTGTTAGGTCATTTAATTCTTTAGGTAGGTTTTCTTCAAAGAGTCTTAGTTATATTACACTACTTTTTTTTTCGTAGGGTACATTGTATTATTTTTTTTCTAATTGGTTTGAAATAAAAAATAAAATAGTTCATATAATTTGACTTTTAATAAAAACTTTTATCTTAAAACTATTAAGTAAATATTTATGTTTATAAAACATTTTCTTATCTTTATGTTATTGTTGAAGGATAAATTAAAAAGAATCTGTTTAAAAAAGTTTAAGAATTAAAAAAATTATAATTTTAAAATAGTGCCACTTAGATTTAATAGAAAAATCTTAGCTATTATGTTGCCATCATAGTCTCATTTAGCACCCTATATTTAGCCCTCCTCCTCCCCCTATATCTTGAATTTATTGATAATCTAAATTTTTTCAACCTTATTGAGAACTGCAGTTATTCCATTTTTTAGAAAAAATTTAAGTATGGCTGGTTCTGAACTGACATCATCTAATGGTGATAAAAAGACTTCTGAAAAGATCAATAGTTTTGCAGAGCAATTGTTGCTACTTCGTCGTCAGCAAGATGAGCAGTACCGTCATTTAACATTGGTAGCAATTATAGATTTTAATTAATATAATAATATAATAATAATAAAAAAAAATATTTTTGGTATTTAAAACATTTAATTTTCTAAAAATGGATAAAATTATTTGTTTCAAAATATTTATTTTTCAGGATAAAAAGTTCAGCCACTTTCATTTTATGAAAAAAATTTTATTTTAGTTATACAAAGCACAACAAGACTCCCTACGGCAGCAACAAGAACATGAATTAAGCCAGCATTATAAGCGACAAACATCATTACATCCAACAACAAAAAATGTTGCTTCATATATGTCAACATCCTCCAAACCTTATGATTACCAACATACTGAGAACACAAGTAGCCAAGTAAGTTGGTGATCATTTATTTTAAAATATATGGAAGTCCCATCATTGTAAAACTATTCTTATTTTAATACTATAAAAATTATGAGAACATTTAATCTTTGTTCTGATATTACAGAGATTTCACCATTATGTTAGCATCTATAGCCTATGTAATGAGTTTAATAGAAAATGCTATTCTATTATGAAATAAAAATTAGTTGGTACAAGTGAAGCTTTTTCTTTATTCATCACAAACTTTTAAAAAATTACAAGTTTTTACATCAACATAAGTTATTGGCGTATATCTGTTAAGAGATATAAAAATCTTTTTTTTATGAAAATCACCAAAAGAAAACTTACATATTATAAAAGTAAAAGATAAAGAATAATTTTATGAGATTATATTACATAATATTGTTTTGATTATAAATAACTGTGATGTATTTGTGGTGTCATAGTTTTTAATAAGATTTTTTTCTCTATAGGATTAAGTAGTTCAATTATGTTTGATAATCTGATTTATATATTTTTGAATGCAGTGGTAAATTTATAAAAAAAACATGTTTCATTTAGAAAGAAATTAATATTTTTTTATTTTTAGGTTTTGGTAATATAGTTTAGTGTGATAATAGATTGCCTAATAGAGTAGAGTTGTTCTTACTATCAAACATAAGTTTTTTAACTTGTATCGGATATGTATTTATAGATTTATGTAAAGTAATAAGCCATTGGTCTTAATATTAATTGTTTTTGTTGTTTAGTCTTTTATGTAAATTGAATGATGAAAAACTCTAAGAATGATTTATTTATTCTTAAGCTTTTAAATATATTTATTTGCACTGTCTCTTTATACTTCTCCAGATATAGATTGCTAAATAAATAAAAAGGAAAGCTATCTATTATAATGCTAGCAATGCAGGTAGAATGTCATAATATTTTTGTTTTTATTGACAGGTATGTGGGAAAGTATTATAGTTGTTTTTATTTTTCATAATTTTTAAAAAAAATAGATAATTAAAAAGCTTTTAGCTTTTTAATTATCTTTTTTATCTAGTTTTTAGCTTTTAGAAAATTACAAGTAATATTTAAAATATTAAAAAAATACATCTTTTTACCTGTCTTTCAAATGAATTAATATAATCTATCTTCTTTTTTTTTTTCTTTATATAACTAATTCAAAATAAAGATTGTATTTTTCAAGTTTAAATTTAAATCATAAATTTTAATAACTAATTAAAGAAAAAACTATATTTTTATGTTAGGCAATATATATTTTTGATAAAATATATTTTTTGTTTAGGTCGAAAGAAGAATAGAAGAAGCTAAACCACAAGGTGTGTCATTTTTCGTTGTAATTTGTGAAAAAATTAAAATTGTTTTCAGAAGTGGTAGAGTTGTTAAAAATATTGATTGAGATCTTTAGAAGTTTTAATATTTCATTCATAGTACCACTGCCAACCAACTAGTTTCTTTACTTTACTCTTTTTTTTTGAGATTTTTGTTTTTGCATTAGGTTTGAGTAAGAAGGAGAATAAGATAAAATTAAGTTTATAATGATTGTCTCCCAACCTCAGGGAAGTGGAAAAAAAAAGTTTTTATACATGTTTATCTATATGTGTGTATGAATCAGTTGTAATATATATTAACCAGTCATATCTATTTGTATGAATCAGTTTTATTATATATATATATATATATATATATATATATATATATATATATATATATATATATATATATATATATATATATATATATATATATATATATATATATATATATATATATATATATATATATATTAACCATTCATATCTATATGTATGAATCAGTCATTATATATATTGACCTGTCATATCCATGTGTTTGAATCAGTTGTAATATATATTAACCAGTCATATCTATGTGTATGAAGCAGTCATTATATATATATATATATATATATATATATATTACCCATTCATATTTATGTGTATGAATCAGTCGTTATATATATTAATCGGTCATATCTATGTGTACGAATCAGTCATTATATATATTACCCATTCATATCTATCTGTATGGATCAGTCATTATATATTTTGACTAGTCATATCTATGTGTATGAATCAGTCAATATATATATATATATATATATATATATATATATATATATATATATATATATATATATTATATATATATATATATTAACCAGTCATATCTATTTGTAAGAATCAGTCATTATGAATTTGTTTAAATAAACTTAATGAATTTGTTTATTAAAGTTTTGGATACAAGTTTTTTAAGTTTCAAAACAAGATTTAAAAGTGAAAATAAAATGATAAAAATTGTTTTATTTGTAAACATATTTGGGCATAGGCAATGCAATTTCAGAAGATGTTCGGAATAAAATTCGTGAAAGAGTGTTTAGGAATATAAAAAAGAGAAATAGCAAACCTGATCCTCGGCTTTCTGGACAATGCAAAGAAGATTTTATTACATGGTGAGAAAAAAATATATGTATGCATATATTTATGTTTTTTTATAACTTATAGTATACAAAATAGTAAATAAAATATGTAATAAAATAATAAAATATGTAAATATCTTTTTTATTTAAGGTCATATAAACCTCAGGCATACATTGAATCATATGCTCCAGACAATGATGGGCTCTTTGATCTACCTCCTCTTCGAAAAGCTGGTATTTTTCAATTTATTATTATTTATGTGTTATATTATGTACTTTTTAATCTTTTTTGTATACTTTTTTTGATAAATATTGATTCATGAAGTATTTTTTTAATAATTGTTAACTAGTCTACTAATATGAAAAATAATCTAAAGTGTGATTTCCTCTGAAAAACTATCCACCATTTTTTGAATTTTGCAAATCATTTTGAATATAGAAAAAATTAACCTCAGTATATAGAATTAAAAATAACATGGTTAACAGCTTATTTGTAAACTTTAGTTTTAAAACTTCAAAATTTTGTGTTTACCAATGTGTGTATTACTAGTGGAATTTTCAATAGCGATTTGTTTGCACTTTAAATAAGATCTATAAGTTGAATGCTGCATTTACAAAAGGACTCTGGCTTTAACTCTGGCTTTTAACTATTATTTCCTGTTCTTTGGTGTCCAGGACCTCTAAAAATGTCAAGTCACTTATGATCTGCAATAAGAAAAGAGTTCTCGAAACTTAATGAGTTGGAACCTATTGTTTTTTAGCACATATTCATGGAGTCTTAAAGTTCTTGCTGCTATTATACAAAAGGTGTTCAAAATTTGTTCATTTCTCTAACCTAAAAGTTCTAACGTTTTTCCCTAAAGTTGTCCCTTTACATTTAAGAAGCTCCTGTATACCAAAAACCAAGAAGAAATAATTGTTTTGTGACTTTTTTGTGACTCAATTTTGGATTCCTTTTTGGGACTACGCATCCCTGATACAGATTTTGAAAAAAGAAATAAAAAAGAGTTTTTCCAAATGAGCAGATATTTAGACATTTAGAGAGTTTTTTTTCAATAGGTTAGCAACCAAGACATTTTGTAAATTTTACAAAATAAAGTATTAATAAAAACAAAAATATTTTTTTAGCTTCTGAACCAAATTTAAAACGAACTCCATTATATCCATATCCCAAGTCTCGAGGTCGAAATAAATTATATTCTGCTACAGGAGAAAGCAGGTATCTTTCAGGTAAAAATTTACTTTTTAATTATTTCTTTTATTGTTAATATTATATAAAGAGTAAATAAAAAAGTAACATTAAAAATTGAATAAACAAGCTTAATTCATCATACACCTAAATGACATTTTTTGCTTGCCTCCATTTTATAATTTTGATAATTTTATACTTTCAATTTGATCAATTTTAAATCTTAAAACAAAAACTATAACATCGTTTTGATGTTTTGATGATCTCAATATTGAGATCTTTATAACAGTTCAAACAAAATTATTTTGTTCAAGTTGTTAAAATTGTTATAGTCTTCTTAAGTGATGTTTTTACCAATCAAAACCTACCAATCAAAAGTTTGCATTAGTTGTTATTTTAACTTTAAAAGAAATTTTAACATTTCTAGTAATTATTATATTTCAAATTCATTTCATTCAAAAAATTTTAATTCATTCATAAAAATTCATTTAATATTTAATCAACTGTCAAACTAAAGTTAAAAAAATATATATATTATGATTTCAAACTGTCTATTTAAAAACATTAATTATTTTTTATCATTTGCTTTTTTTGCTTAATGAATATAATTTTTGCATTTTTTTATACTGTAAACTAATGTTTGTTATGGTCTCAAAGCTATATTTATTCCTATAATCAAAAAACTATGTTTATTTCTATAATCAAAAATATTTAGTTGCTAATTTAATTATTTTAACCTTCTGTTTTTGATTTAAATTTTTATAATTAAGTTTGCCTAGAGAGTCTATATACTCAGAGAGTGGGCATAGGTGTGATCATTTTTGATTGGATGATCAATTTTATAGTTTTAGTTGCCACGTTTTTGTCAAAAAATACTAACTGCGAGTGAACTTACTACTAAATTTTTGTTAAATATTTGTAAAAGTTTTTGAAAACTAAAGTGAATTTCATAAAAATTCATGAAAAAGAATTGTGTACTTTTATTCTTGATGAAATATCAATAACTGAAAGTATTAACTATGATAAATTTTAAGCTCATACTATGGAATTGTTACATGACCTTAAAACTGGCCAAGCTTACATTAGTTTTAATGCTTGGAGGAATACCTGATAAAATGCTTGGAGGAATATCTACCTGATAAAATGCTTGGAGGAATATCTACCTGATAAAATGCTTGGAAGAA